TCTGTCTAATTGTGTGAATGTCATCACTGCCTCAGTGTAGTGTACAGATTACTTGTGGCTTCAGACTGGTAGTGCACTCTTAGTCCATAGGTGCTTCACAGAGCTTTGCAGACTCATGTGATATAATTTGGGGTACTCACTGTTGGTTCTTTGAATTATCGCCCGCTATCATGACATACAAAGAGCTTCTAACTGAGGGTTATAAACAATTTAAACTGTCCACTGCAGCCTTTGTCTGTGGTTCTTATGGATGCCTTTTTCATCTTTGATATATTTTCAGTATTTTTCTTGTACATTGTGAATTCTTTTCTGTTTTTTTTTCTTTCCAGCAATGACCTTTTGGCTTTGTGCTGAACTGCATGTAAGTGCATCTCCAAATATTCTGCCTTACTGGAAAGCCAACAGTCCATCCTTGCATTGCCCAGAACTACAAAACAGAAAAACAGGTTCATAATTTGACTTCAAACAGAAGTAGTTTTGAGTAATTTGGAAGTTTTAGTTGTTATTGATATAACAACAACAACCCACAGTATTACCTGGGATTGTTGCCATTGTTTGGTAAGTAAAAGAACATCTTCAAGCAAGGTCCTATTGCTGCCTTTGCAGGAACTGGTTTACCAGTACTAGGCATAATTTATATGCATTCATAATGAGGTAATTGGCTCCTGACTTGTCTAATTAATTAAGAGCATGATCTTTATTATCCAGCAGAGCAGTCACTACATCTGACAAATAGATTAACAGTCTCAGTTTTCCAGGCCTCCAGTATGTCCAAACTATGCAGTGAAGAGTGTAGCATCAAGTGTGTCTATTACAACTTTGCTACAAGTTTGTAGTAATTCAGCCTAATATGCTGACATGGACTGCTTTAATCATCTGGAGGCCAATTTCAGGAGCCAATGTCAAATCCCAGCCAAGCAAAGAAGACAAAAATCAGAATGCAGGCTACAATATGTTGTCGTTAATCAGTATTTATAACAATTCATATTTGCAACATGATGTCACATCATTTTGGAAACACCCAGATGGCTGAAGACACAGGCTGCCTGCTTGTTAATTTTACTAGGGTTGAGCTGGAAAATAATGGGTAGTTATTTTTCCGGCTCAATAACTATCCATTTTATTAACGGACAGTTATTAAAATGGATGCACTAACATACAAACTCTCAGCATGTTCATGACTGCAGGCATCACGTAGGCTGGAGAAATGAATGCAAACTATCCTCTCTGACCCCAGTCACATAATTGCTTTGGCCAAACTGCACCAATGCTTAACTTGGTGACAGCAAACATGTTGTAAGAGGTCAGTCATATAAATAAACACAATAATATGTGATACGATATTTCGTTAACCTAATAAAAAGATATTGCAGACTTGTCACTACTTCCTTGCTTAAAGTGACCGTCTAGCCATTAAATGAGTGACACTGTGGAATGTAATGAATGACACATTAACTTTAGCTAATTAGCGCTCACCTTTGCTGAATAAACAACAGCATTATTGACCCTTCCGTCTGTGCTCTCTCAGGTCTCTCACTCAGTCATTTGAGGGGGACTGGAATTCAAAACTGTAAATTAGCTTCTTCTAAATGATTAAAGCAGGTGAGCAGGGGTTTGACCCAACAGTGCTAACCACTGCACAACTATTTATCTCTTTGTCTTGTCTTCCTCCATTCAGCCCAACTGACAGCAGATGGCTGCCCATCCCCCTTCCTTTTAAAAGGCAGTTTTTCTTTCCCACTGTCAAAGCTCTTGCTCACAGAGGAACACATGATTGTTGGGGTTTTATCTGCTTTCTTTGTATTATTGCAGGGTCTCTACCTTACAATATAAAGCACCTTGAGGCAACTGTTGTGATTTCGAGCTATATAAATAAAACAGAATTGAATTGAATTGCACCATCATGCTGCCAAATGTGTCACTAGGGCATGTGAAAAGGCCCTTTCCATTTTGACACTGGTTTCCTCAGCAATGCTTGTTCTTCCAGTGACAGAAAAAGGTGTTCTGCTGATGGGTTTAGTGTTTTGTCACCAAACGCTAGACTATGGCACACAGGCAGACACATATACCTGAAGAATGCATCTACTTTTTCTTGGATGCTTGAAATATTCAAATTTGATTTTCTGAGTACGTGGCTGCAGGTCCAGGTAGGCCTGCCTGTGCTCTGGGATGGTGGAAAGGATACCATAGCCAGATAATGAAATCACATGGTGTTGCTGACAGGGAAGTAAATTAGCAGCTACTTAGCACTTGTTTAAGAGAAACTGCTGTGTGGTTGTTTAGCTGAATATTGGCGTCTTCAATTTGAACTGCGTTTTTTTCCTTTTCCAACATGTTTCTTTTGCTTTTTTAAAACTTCTATCCTAACCTACACTAAACACTAAGCAGAATAAAAATGTCTGTTCTTCTTTGCTCACAATTGGTTTTAGGGTTTTTTGCACTGACATTGAATAATCCGACCTATGATCATCTTCACCAAATGGTAAACAATGGATTTCATTGACTGCTGGTCACTGGTTGAGACTTTAGAAAGACCTTCACATTAGCTGTACAATTTAAATTTAAAAAAGCAACAAAAATAATTTAAGTAAATTAAATCCACTGTGATTTGCAAGCAGGAATGGGGCAAAAAAAAACAAAACAACAACAACTAGATTTTTTTTTGTCTTATATCAGTTCCAGCATTCATCAAACATTCTGATATTACTACCCATGAGTACTGAGTTGACATTTATAGTTTGCATGGGTAATACTGCAAACTTTGACACATTATCTTTAATTCATCCATTCTTTCTTTCCAAAATAAATTTAATTTGACAAAAAATATCATTGTTAATATCAAAATCCAGGAAAAACAGCACTTGTTATTTTAAGTACAGTTTTGCATAGTTTTCCTTGGCATTAGGCAGATATCTTAATCCAACATGAAGAACTTGTCACAGTTCTTTTGTGGATTTAGGCCGTCTCAGTGTCTTCGGTCTCTTTACATAATCCCATACTGAATCCATGATGTTTACCACAAAGCTCTGTAAGTGAGGGCCAGACCATCTGTTCTTCTTGTTCTTCTTATGGCTTTTTTTTAGTGCCCATCGCTGTATGTTTGTAGTTATTAGATTTGCCATCCTGCTGAAGAATAAATTGCAGGAACTGGCAACACGTTCTCACTCCCAAAGCGTAACATTTTACGCTAGGTGACAAATCGTCAACATATTACGATTTCGGCTACCCACCACGTTCCTAAATGACAACCTCGGAAAAAACAGGAAATATGAGAACCGTCTGGACTCCATCTACACATGTTCGCTCTTTTTCTTCAAATCGCTTAGAAACACGCTATTTAACATCATTATAGTCCTGGTTAAGATCAGGAATAAGGTTATGGTTAGGGCTAGGGATAAGGTTAGGTTTAGGGCTGGAATGTCTATTACCGCGGGAGCGTCATTGCACTGGATTCCAGCCATAACCCGCCGTGTACCACAAGAACGCCCAAGGTCTCCTCCGGGACGTGACAAAACGTCGACATGTTACGCCTCGGGAGTGAGAACTGGAAACCAGTCAGATGTTGTCTCCCTTGAGCTTAAAGGAACCCAAACATCAACATCTAAAGTAAAGGTTTAGCACAATGCAGAGCCAGATGAAGCATATATACAGGTCCCTGAATAGACTAAAGATGTTGCAGTTCATGAGCTGTGCCTTAACAAAGTGTGCTTTGTTAAAGGAGCACAGCAGGAGAAAGAGAAATGATCTTTCCAAATTATGGGAAAAAACTCATCTTAATTGTGTTGCTGTATGCACAATAGAGCAAATGCAATTTCATTGAAACATAATTGCAATCAGCTTGAGGTTAAGGTCATGGAAACACTGACTTTAATGAAAAAATGACTACACATTTTTTTAACCCACAATAAAGTGCAATAAGAAGAAAGGGTAATCTAGCAATTAAGCAAATCTGTTAAAAACACATGCTTGTAAGAATTCCCATTGATTTCAAGCAGAGATTTTTTTTTTGAGAGTAGGTGTCAGCATAGATTTTGTGTCTGATCACAGTGCACACATGTGACTCACAATCAGAGATTTACCAGACTTATCATACCCAAAACTATATAATTACACAAATTAAAATCACTTGTTTTTTCACTAACACTTTACAATACAGCCCATGACTAAGCTCAATGAGGAGAGGACTGTAAGGGTTTCGAGTCCTGTGGTGTTAATGGGAATGTGTCCCGTGAAAAGAAAGAAAGAAGAATGCACAAAGCATCTATTTATAGCATTTACAGTATGTTGGCATTGTTGGCCTTTTACAGCATGTCCTTTTTTCTTCTTCTGGTCTTTTTGTAGTGGAAAAGGAAGTGAATAGACTAGGGCAGACTAATGGGACTAATCAACACGGCGCTGCGACGTGTGGGCGTATCCATTCTATTTCCAATTTCAGGACACAGGCACAAGTTCAGCGATGATAAATCACTGAGGTTTGTGGGTCTCTGTATCAAAACACCACCTGATATAGCGGTGCAAAAAGTGCTGGTGACTTGAAAAACAGTTTATTTTTAGTTTGTTTCATTTTATAAATAAACTGCAAATATCACCTGCCAAGGTTTACGACACTCTTGCATGTGGACAGGGTTGAGTCTGCCCACTAAGAAATTGTGTGGAAAACCTTTGTGAACACGAAGTCTGAAGCTTGGCCTATGCTAAAGTTGTGACAGAAATTTGAGACCGCCAAGAATTTCTGTCTTGTTTATGAAACGCAATGGTCTATGAGTAAAACGCTCCCAGTTTAAATGGATGAATAACAGGTAAAAGCCTACTCTCAATGACCTAGTGACCATCATTTGGTAAAAGTCATGGTTTTATTTACTAAATGCTTCCTAAGAAAATGTGGAGGAAATAGGATCGCCAAGTAACAAGTGATTATACTCAGAGATTATGGGCTGAATTCTCAGATCCTCTTAGCCCATCTTCATCATCCCCTTGGGGCTATATAACTGTGGCTGCTCAGTGGTGTTTAAGAAGTTAGAAAGCAGACTCTGCTGCATTAACAGTGCTCCAAGAAGCTTAGCTGGACAACTGATCAGCAGAGATGGCTTGGGATGGAGGACTTGAGCCTAATGGCACAGAGGGCAAAAACTTCTACATCCCCTTGAACAACAAGACAGGACTCGTGAGGAGTCCTTTTGAATATCCGCAGTATTATTTGGCAGATCCATGGTTCTTCAGATTGCTTGCTTTCTATATTTTTTGCCTTGTCATTACTGGATTCCCCATCAACTTTCTGACACTGCTGGTCACCGCTCAAAACAAGAAGCTCCGACAACCTCTCAACTTTATCCTGGTTAATTTGGCAGTGGCTGGACTGATCATGGTCATATTTGGATTCACAGTCACCATTTTTTCTTGTGTCAATGGCTATTTCGCCTTGGGTCCTTTGAGCTGTGCTATTGAAGGATTCATGGCTACAGTTGGAGGTAAAGTTTTGGAATTTCAGGCAGATTTAAGAAACTGTAAAAGGTGACATGGTTTAAAGGTTCTCATCATACATCCCGCTCTCTTTCCTCTCAACAGGTCAGGTATCTCTGTGGTCTCTTGTGGTTCTTGCTGTTGAGAGATACATTGTGGTCTGTAAACCCATGGGAAGTTTCAAGTTTACAGCTACCCATGCAGGAGTGGGTTGTGCTTTTACCTGGATCATGGCTTTGGCCTGTGCTGCCCCCCCATTGTTTGGCTGGTCAAGGTACTGAGATATTTACTCAAAATTCTGTATCCTACCCATGTCTGGAATGGCAGTCAAGGGGAATGGAAATGTCTTTTATTTTAGGCGTTTCAGTCTAATTCTAAAAAAATTTAGTTGTTCCAGATAAGATGATAATATTAAATTCCCAAAGCTTGAATTATAAAAAGCTGAAAAACATAATTCATCTTTCATTCATAAGACATCAGCTTACACATACCCAAACTTTTGTTGATTACTCGTAAATCCTCTGTTTGTGCAAAGGAAGGGCTGAAAAATAGAATAGAATAGAACAGAAGAGCCCTTTATTGTCATTGTACAAGTACAACAAAATTGTGGGTGCTCCACAAGAACTGTGCTAGAATAAAATATAATAGTAGACAGCAGGAATACATAGGATAAATATACAATCAAGAGGAACGTACAAAAAAAAAAGAGGACAGCTAGCACAAATGGTAATATGCTAACAAAACAAACACACAAACAAACAACAATAATGATAAAATAAGAAGCAACAAAGGAGCAAAGGAAATAACAAAGGGAAGTAATAAAGGAAAACAAACTTAAAGCAGCACAACGAACTCAAAAATTTGAAGACAAGAACTAGACACTTCATAAATACAGTCTCCTGACTTAAACCTCAAGGATTGGATGGATGAGTGAAAGCATAGCAACCAGCAAGTGCAGCACATCTGTGAGAACATCTGCAGTGTTTGAATGAACTTTCCAAACTAGTCAAAAAGTCAAAAAAAAAAAAAACCTACATAAAAATACAGTTACTCTCTGCTTTAGTTTGAGGATAGACTGAATTTCAGTAGCATCAATCCTCCACCGGCGGTTCCTATTTTAGCTGTTATTTAAAACACTTGAGGTACATCTTGTCTCAGCTTTGTTGTAATATTAACAAAATTATATTAAGAGACTGTTTCAAACCATAATGATGACAATGTTCTGGTTTGTTCAGCTTTTTTGCCCCCAATAAATAGTTTTGTTTAAATCAGTTGATTATTTGCTATTTTCTCTGGAAGTACCTCAAAAACATGTACTGTGTACATATAATGTGTACCTCTGACTGAAGTATCGCTGTAACATTTCCAGAGAATATGCATCTTTGGGATTTAAACTGCTTCTCTTGATGAAGATTTGCTGAGTGAAATATTTCTTCCTCCTGTTCTACTTTTTGAGAACTTCTGTGGATGACACAGAGGATTTACAAACAGTCTTGGCACCAGTTTAATAAATGGTTAGCCTTTGCAAATCTCAAGGAGGCTGGCATCTCTCCCTTTGAGGTGATATCATTCACTTCAACCGGTGGATGCTAAAAACCTCTTCTTTTTTTTTTTTTACCTGATGCTTCATATTCAACTAACCTTTTATGTATTCCCAGGTACATTCCTGAGGGAATTCAGGTTTCCTGTGGACCTGACTACTACACTCTGGCCCCAGGATACAACAACGAATCTTATGTCATATACATGTTCACCTGCCACTTCTGTGTCCCTGTCTTCACCATCTTCTTTACCTATGGAAATTTAGTCTTTACAGTGAAGGCCGTAAGTGATGTTTATTTCAATTAAATGTTGTTCCTCTATATCCAGATGTTTTTTGTTGTTGTTGTTGTTGTTCAGAATATTAGAGCAATGTTGGAGATAATATCTAACATTGCTCTAATATTCTGAAAAAAACAAACATCCTTACCTGCTGACATTTTGGTCACATATTTGAACTGATCAGCCTTCATGACCTAAGCCATGTCATCGAATAGTTTTAGCATCAACACTGAATTCAGCACAGACATTATCTAATGATTTCTTTATCTACAGGCTGCATCCCAACAGCAGGACTCAGCTTCTACCCAAAAAGCTGAAAAGGAAGTGACACGCATGTGCATCCTGATGGTTTTCGGCTTCCTCTTGGCCTGGACCCCATATGCTTCCTTTGCTGCATGGATCTTCTTCAACAAGGGAGCTGCATTCACAGCCACAGCCATGGCTATCCCTGCTTTCTTCTCAAAGAGCTCAGCATTGTTCAACCCCATCATCTACATCCTCATGAACAAACAGGTCAGTTTATTATTATGATCCTGCAAATCAGCAGTTATGGGGACAAGTAAGCAGCTACGATCTGTCCTCATGGCTGCATGCAATTATCGTGTAATGTCTTATAAACCCTATTTTTAATAGTTTTCATGGCAAATATTTATTAGATTCAGGCTCATTTATTGGATTCTTTGCTTTGGGATGATCACAAAGACCACACTGAAGTTTCCTTCATTCTTTTCTTTTTCTTCATTTTATCCCCATTGTAGTTTCGTAACTGCATGCTTTCAACAGTTGGAATGGGTGGTATGGTTGAAGATGAGACCTCAGTATCAACCAGCAAGACAGAAGTCTCCTCCGTTTCTTAAAAATACTACCTACATATCTCCAGCCATACTCCTTCCTGACTTTTCTCTCATTCCGAATGACTGTCTTGACATGGGCATGAGAAAATGGATACAAGTTCATTTTTATCTGCAGGATTTTACTGTAATTGTTCCTTACTATTGTATGTGAAAACTTGATTCTAAGTTTTTTTTTTTTTTTGATGGGATAAGAATCCCCATTGTATATTTGTGACATAAAGAGGTTTTCGTAGCTTCTGTCATGATATTCTGTTTATATTTTATAAACAAAAGCCTAGGAATAATATATTAAATGCATGCATGAAAAGATTTATTACTTGGTTGTTGCCTTTATTTGAACAGTTCCAGAATTTATCCTTAGATTTTATTTGAAACCACTGAGAGGTTTGAGAGATGCAGAAGTAGATTAGATGTTGTTTATATCTTGTAAAAAGTTCATAAAAAGTACAGGAACAATATGTTTCTGTAGGTTCTCAAGGTCATGACAGTCACTAGACAAGTTCCTAAAATGAAGGTAGCTGGATTTCTTTTTGGTTCCTGTTGACAGTTCAATTCTCATCCAAGAGCCTTCTTAAGTGTAAAAAAACGACCCCCCCAAATTAACCAACACAGAAACACGCACACACACAAAAACAAACAATCAAAAAAAAAATAAAACAAACAAACAAATTCAACAAACAAACAAACAAAACAAAACACCCAAACAAAACAAAACAAACAAACAAACAAACAAAAAACAACAAAACAGACAAAAAAAAACCCCCCCCCAATAAAAATAACAACAACAAAAAAGATAAAGAGTCACAGCTATTTAGCCCCTGCTGGGGTTGTCCACTAGGAGATAGCCCTCAGACTTGCTTACCGACCCTATAATCATTGATCAAGTGATTAGTATTAGTATTCTGAGATTTGAGAGAGTAAAGGAGACCATCTACATCCAGCCATTATTGAACAGAGGTGTTAGCCTGTAACAGCTATCAGTCATTCAGTCTTGAGAACCCTTCCCAGTTCACAATGCCCATTCACACCATTTCCCATCTATATCCTCCTCTTCTGTCTTCTGCCAACAGCAGAGGGGGCAGTCATTTTTAACCTGGGCTTCGACCTGCCCTTTATGATGCAACCCCTCCTTATTTAGCTAGGCTTGGGAATGACAATCCGATTATTAACTCATTCACTGCCAGCCATTGGCAGTGAATGAGTTAAACCCATTGACTCATTCACTGCAATTGACGGCTATAGAGTCAATGGCAGTGAATGAGTTAAGTGATGACGTGACGAATCCTACTTCCGGGCCTAAAGTAGTCTGCGTTTAATATGGCTTTTGTGTTGTTAACATGTTTAATGCTTTGTATTTTCTTCTATTTAATCTCAAAAAGCTCCTAAAACAAGTCAGTGATCACTGTTGACCTCCCTCGGCTTTTATTACCGCTAATCATTTATTTAAGCTCAGTTTTTAAAACCTTAGGATGTAACTACAGCCCAGCCCATGCAGCAGTATATGAATGACTAACCTCGTATTGTGGATGGATTATCTCAGTTGTTCTCCTGGCTGAAGTTTGGTCCTTTTACAGCATCCTGCCATGCGATTACATTTGTTCCTGACCACCGAGAACACTCACGTTAACTTTTATCGAGTGGAAAAAAAGTTAGCTTGTTTATATTATGCTAACATAGCTGTGTCGCTAGCGGTCACGTAGCACATCATTATATACCAGCTAGCCCAACTTCAGTAACCCTACAAACGTCACTGCTGTTTAGTTTTCTGTCTTCATTTATGTTGGAAGTGATAACAGAGCTGTACGTTTTAATTTGTTTCCAAAACCCCGCAGTCAGGACATGCTATATTGTATTTAGATAGAAGCTAGCGAGCTAACTTCCTGCTAACTTCTAACTCCGTTAAATGTCATAAATTCCGTTTTCATGGATGCCTGGATGTTAAACTCAGTTGTTACACCTGGTAGAGCAGAACGCTGATCATTTTATTAAAGATGAAAGACTTAAGACAGTGTTTTAACTCTCAGTAATGCCACAGTGATCATTTGATATATGGACCTGCAGCAGAGTTTAGGCCCAGACACGGCTAGTGACGTCAGACTGAACGATCAGATTACAGCACGGTGGCATGGTGGTTAGCACTGTTGCCGCACAGCAAGAAGGTCCTGAGTTCAATTCCACCATCAGGCCGGGGTCTTTCTGTGTGGAGTTTGCATGTTCTCCCCGTGTTTGCGTGGGTTCTCTCCGGGTACTCCGGCTTCCTCCCACCGTCCAAAGACATGCAACTTGTGGGGATAGGTTAATTGGATAATCCAAATTGCCACTAGGTGTGAATGTGAGTGTGAATGGTTGTCTGTCCCTATGTGTTAGCCCTGCGACAGACTGGCGACCTGTCCAGGGTGTACCCCGCCTTTCGCCCTATGACAGCTGGAAAAGGATAAGCGGAAGCGAATGGATGGATGGATGTATCAAAAAAATTCAAATAAAGAGATAAATAATGAAAGAAAAATCTAAATAAATTGCACAAACATTTAAAAGCGATTTAAAAAATGCCTGATATAGCAAATATGATATAAATTAAAAGACATTAAAATGTAATTATTTTTTAAACAAATTTGTCAAATGGTTCAATAAACACTGCATTTTCAAAAAATGTGAATTTTCTGGTAATTTTTTCATCCTTCAGGTTTTAAAGGGTGAGCTAATTAATGTGTCACATTAAGTAAAGTGAGGCCCTTAGCTTCCTCATTACCCTCACAGTTATTTAATAAAATATACATAAAACATAAATATTTAATAAATTAAAATGACTACAGGATTCTCAACAAGCATTTTAATCACTGTATTCAAGTTACAGACAGATTAATATTCTCATTTATGTACAGCACTGAAACCAACACATCTAATAAACAGATTTTGCAACTGTTTAATTCAGCCTAAAGATTTAATCCCTGAACTTTGTGGAAACACAAATGTTACTGATATAGTTACTGATGTTTGTCACAATAGTGCATACATGCAAACCAATCACAGACTTCTTTTTATGAATGTAATATACAGGAAGAGTAACCACACAAGATAACCATGAGGAGACTCGTGCGAATAGGAATACGAGAATGAGAATGATGTATTGCTATTCAGTGCATACGAAAAGGAACTAACATTAAAGCAAACGGTTATGGTGAAAATGTAATTTGTAAAAATAACCTGTGAGCCACAAGGGTGACATGTCTTGGGCAGATATCCCTGTTAGGAAGCTCTGGGGTGGATGCAGAATGTGATGTAGTGATTGCCTCTGCTGGCTGTCTTCATCCCGGTGTCTCCCTGGAAGAACTGCAGGAAGCAGCAAGAGGGAGATCTGGGCTTCTCTGCTTAGATGACTGATTCTGCAATAAACAGGAATAATGATTGCTCTTTACTGTTGGAGTTAGGAAATCCCTGATTTACTTATTTTATTATTTTTTGCTTTTTATCATATTCTGTAATTAAAATGATAAAGAAATGAAATGATAATAAAATAAATAATAATTGCTGAGACACACTACAGTACATGTTGATATATAGGCGTAGTAGGACAATGGCCAAACTGTTTGTGTGAGACTTGTTTTCACTTTATAGAAAAAAGATAAAATCACATCACCCTTATCCTGGCTTCTTTTACATCTTAGAATTATAGACTTTACTGATCACTAAAATGTCATCTGCATCTAGGTACATAGTAGACCCCATATATGCCTGCTTGGGGGCCCTTCTGGCTGTTTTAATGCTTAAATCTGATGATCACTGTTGGCTTGCCTTTAGTGTCATCAGCTTTGAAATGGGTCGGCTGAGGAGATAAGGCCAGCAGAATAAGTGATTTCCCTTTATGAGTGATTCTGTTACATTTGATTTCTTATTTTTTGGTTATCTCTCTTTATTTGTTTTCCTAATTGCAGCCTTTTGCTCTTTAATTAATTTGCTTTATTTTTTTGTAATATTTAACCTTTTTAACCTTTTATTCTATCCCTTAAGTGTTCTGTCAAAACACTTTGAAAGTTGTTTCTCTGTTTTTAAAGGGATATATCACTTAAATCAGTTTTGTCGTTTGTTACAGTTTTTAAATTTTATACTTTTCATATGTGTAGATGTTTGCTTCATATTTAATGCTATGCACCGTGTGAGGCTAGGATTTTTTTATGCTTGCACAACAACATTAAAGGTCTTGAATCTATTTATTGTACTGTTATAAGTCTGTTTATTGTTTATTCTGTCAATTAACATTTTACTGTATTTTTTGTTTTTCTTTTAACTACCTTTGGTGAGTCTTTTTAAATCTGTTATTTTTCAATTTATCTCCTGTATTATTATTATTATTATTATTATTATTATTATTATTATTATTATTATTATTATTATTATTATTATTATTATTATTATTATTATTATTATTATTATCATTATTTCATATAATTCATATAAAATTTAAATTTAGGTTAATTGAGGTTAGCATGATCAACATGAACTTTATTCCAATGTTGATTTATTAACTCAGAGCTTTAACAGTTGCTAGTGTTCTCAGAGTAGTAAATTTACCTCTTTTACTAACAGGACTGCCCCTCAAAATTTATAATACTACTAATAAAAGCACCTATTTACAAGTGGTCACCGCAGTGGGTGGATGTTTGATTTGGCAGCTTTGCCCTTCTTGATGCAACTCATTAAGAGATAACATTTGAAAGAACTAAACATCATTTAATGTAGATCAGAGTTTTAATAAATGCATTATTTTGTGATTAGACAACAATGTAGCTACATAGCAGAGCGAGTACAACACTGACAGAAGTAGGGCAGGACTCCCAAAGCCTTGAAACATGCTGGCAGAAATGCAGCAGATGAAGACTTGATGAAGGATGAGGTTGATGTTGGGAGGAGCCTTACTGCACGAATGGGAATCCTGCAGGAAGAATGACAGAAGAGCAGTGAGATTTATAGCACATGGGACAAAAACTGATTGGTTCGCAGGAGCAGGGCAACAAAATGATTGGGCCAGAGTGATGACGACAGCGTTGAGTTTGACAGCGTGGGAATATGGAAGTGATGTAAAGAAGAGACCAGCAGCCACCCAGAAAATCAGACAGATAAATGAATAGAGATCTTCTTTCATTTCATTAGCTGGCCACCAATTAGTATACACATCAGTGTTATCACATCAAATTATCAGTCAACGTTGTAATGGTTTGTTAATCTATTTTGTTCAGTAATCTTTGAAAATAACCTTAATTTGTAAGTACAGGGTATTATATAATACCTTATTATATTGTGTACAGGGCATTAAGTAGCCTCTTTATGACCACATAAAGAGGCTACTGTTACAGGGTTGTAGTAAGTCGATGATATTGACACATACAAAAGTACATTGCTAAAAAGCTTTTAAGCTAAAATTTGCGTCAGCATCTCTATACACAGGCTTATAACCACAACGTTTGACATAGTTCATTGCGGTCATGTGTAAAGCAGTGGGATAAGAATTTTTACCTCCAAGTCCGAGTCCATAGCTCTCAGTCATGAGTTGCTGCCCAATGTGGAGGACTTAAAATATCTCATGTTCTTGTTCACATGTGCGTGAACTTGGGTATTTTATTGTATTGTTTACTCCTGCCCTTATGCTGTCACATTATGCTTATATTTCAGATAGATCTTACCAACTTACACATTCCTATGGCATTTATCTATTTTAAAACAACCAGTATAGTTCATTCAACTCATAGCGCTTGGTGTTCTAAAGCTAAGGTGTGCAGCCCTGGTGGGCTTGACTCACTTCTTTTCTTTATTAAGTGGATTAACCTGATCTAGCTTTACCACACCCTTTTGTGTCAGCGCCGTCTTGATTGAGTAACTGTAATTACATGATCTAAAGATGCCTCTTGTGGGAGATGTTGCCCTCTACTGTCAGTAAGGAGAGATATGTGCTTGGCCAGGTTAAATCTTTAGTAGGAACACTAAAATAATTGTAAGCCCTGAACAGCATGGCAGGAATTCTTCATGGGGAAAAAAGCAAGCTTTTCTGTCAGCTGCTATTAGCCAATTTAAAGCCTGATGAATGCAATATTTAAATTATATGCCATTTGCTTCATTAAAAAATTGCAGCATTAAAAAAGACAAAGATAAAAGATGAAAATGAAAAGATGAAATGTAGATTTAATGGTGCTACATCAAGCGTATATCACTACCTTAAATAGCAGGGGGAATTAAAGTAAGCACACATACACTGATACGCAATTTTAAATTCACAAACACTCGTGTTTGTGAATCAAGTTGTCCAAATCAAGTGGTTCGGACTCAACATGTTGACTAGTGCGCATCAAAATATATTCTACATCAAACAGACAATTAAAAAGCAAAATGTCCCGATATAGAAAAATGTGTTTTAAAAGACAGAGGAGTTTCTGTTTTGTGGGCAGAAAGTGAAGTCTTACCCATCACCTTGTCGACCACCAGCATGCACTTACCCAAATAAAAAACAATCGGCTCAGAAAGAAAAAGAAAGACAAATAATACATAAACCAACCTGCTTGTTAATCAGCACACAGATAACAGGACTGTGCACTGTTAACCTCTAAAGGTGATGATGGCACTGAAGGGAGATTCAATGCAGTGAAAGTGGCATATGGTATCCAAAGTACTAGACGCACATCATGACGCACACACATCTCACTTCCCTAACAGTCTTCTGGCTGTAATCCTGTTACTGGGCTGCAAAGTAAAGTGTCTGAGACCAGATCCTATGATCAACATTTGCAACGGTTTACCAAAGATTTAATTAAAAAGCAGCTATAATGTAAATATTTTTGTTTGAGGATTAGTTAGAACTCAAAGTGAATTTAAGTTTCACTCATAACTGTTAATGTGATAAGGAAGACCACAGAAATGCAAGAAATAGATGGGTCATGATAATAGATCATCAACTTCTAGTTGTCGGAGTGTTGCACTCCCTCAGCAATGTTCCCTCTAATTTCAATTGTTCCGTCTGTCCTGCTCACATCTCCAATGATTGTGCACGTTGTCATTAACGTGACTTCACTCCACATCAGCCACGCCTCACTGACTAACACTGCAAAACAGGATTGTTAAAGTATTAATTTTCATTTCAATTCAGGTTAGATTTTTTTTTGTGCGCAACGCAGATTTTCTGTGCGCAGAGACCGCGCCAGCAGCAATAACAGGTAGTAAGCACCTGTGAACAGCTTAATTTTAGCACGGGAATGATTCCACATACACTGCCAGTGCAGTAAAAGCATACCTGAATAAAAAACGAAAAATCATCCTGACAGAGAACAGAACAAAAGGCAGCCAACATCTAAAGAAGAGCTCTGAATGCCCTTCAAGAAGACTGCAGAATTATTCCTGAAGCCTTCTTAAAGAAAAAAGAAGAAAGTTTGCCTATGAGAGTTCAGACTGTGCTGAAGAATAAATGTGGCCATAACAAATACTGACCTTCAATCTTGTTACAATTGTATATTACCTAAGCTGCAACATGACTTCTACTGAACCTAAAGCTTTTCATGTGTTTCAAATGTGCATTGGCAAAGATTTTGAGAACTAAACACTGAGTATAAAGCAGTTGCTGTAATTAAATGCCTTAATGGTCTTGCTCCCCCATACCTTTCCGAGTTACTTCAGCCTTATATTCCTTCACGGACCCTCAGATCAGCTGACCAGCTGCTGTTGGTTGTCCCAAAATCAAGGCTTAAATGTAGAGGAGAACGAGCCTTTTCAGTTATGGCCCCAAAACTTTGGAATACGCTGCCTTTAAATATTAGACAGGCATCTTCGTTTCCTGTTTTTAAAATGCTTTTGAAAACACACCTTTTTTCGATAGCGTTCAGACTGGCTTGAGTTGATATGGTTTTTATGTGTTTTATTATGTTTTATGTGAGTGTCAGTGGTTGTATCTTGTGTTTTACCCTGTGTTTCTGTACAGCACTTTGGGCAAACTTTTTGTTTTTAAACGTGCTATATAAATAAACTGGATTTGGATTTACATGACCTAGTGTTTCTGCAGCAGTTCCAAATGACACATTCTGTTCTTGTTTCAGCAGAAGCTTTACAAAGGATTACTATCAGTGTGACTATACTGTGATGGCAGCTAATCTCAAATGTGCATCTGTGACTTGGATGTTCCACCTTGGTATATTTTTTGGAAATAGCCGGGCTACTACTTCAGCTAGCCATAATTTGCATTAGCTAAATCTTATATTTTGCTCAAGAAAAAAAAAGTTTGGAATTTAATCGAAAATGTCCCTTAAATGTGTGATGTTCTGCTTTGGTTTTAAGCAGCAGATAATCAAACCAGCATGTAAAAGTTAAGCAACCACACCAGTATGTTTCTTTTTATGCATGCATTTATTATATTTACTCAGTCCTATATTTTTTTTTCCTTTTCATATAATGCATAAAAATAACACCACTGGTAGACCAGTGAAATATATGCTCCCCCAAGTAATTGCATGAAAACAATCAACATGTGATTGTACATTCATCAGGTACAAGTGTCACATTTCAGCAGGTTTACAGTTTGAGGTGTTTTTCGTTTACAAGTTCACTCATATTCACTCTCTCAAATGCTCTCACATGCACACAGACACACAATTGCTGTACAACATCATCCCAACAGAAAATGCATTTGCCTTTCTGTTAGTTCACAGATAACATAGAATTCCTTAGTGTTTTTGGTCCAGACTCCATTTGTTAAATCCATTTGGCAAAATGATTCTAATGGGATGTTCTAAAATCTGGAAGCAATCATCAATGTCCATAGATCTGAAGATGCCATCAGGATTAAGACACAGAGGACACCTCTGTCTTGCTTGTTGAAACTGAGGTCTCATCCTCCACCATGCCGCCCATTCCAATGGTGGATAGCATGCAGTTACGGAACTGAAAGACAGCCAATTCAGAAACTCAGAAAATAGTAAAAGACTGAAAAACAGAGAATAAAACTATGAGAATACGTAACACCAACCTGTTTGTTCATTAGCACGTAGATAACAGGGTTGTACAAAGCGGAGCTCTTTGCAAAGAAAGCAGGGAGGGCTGCAGTGAGGGCAGTGAAAGAAGCTCCCTTGTTCATGAAAATCCAACCGGCGAAGCTAGCATACGGTGTCCAAGCTACCAGGAAGCCCATGACCATCAAGACACACATACGGGTCACTTCCTTCTCAGCTTTCTGGGTAGAAGCTGAGTCCTGCTGCTGTGCTGCTGCCTGTTAAGTTTTTCATTTAAATGTAATCAATAATAGCAAGGTGCAATAAATTCCACAGTAGCAATGGCTAGCTTGGTTAGATTAACTGATCTATTATAAATAATTTAAGAACTTTAGCTTCACTTACAGCTTTGACTGTCATCACAAGGCTTCCATAAGTGAAGAAAATGATGAAGACAGGAACGAAGAAGTGAACAACAAACATGTAGATGACATATGACTCATTATTGAAACCTGGAGCCAGTGTGTAGTAGTCAGGACCACAGGAACACTGCATTCCCTCAGGAATGTACCTGTGTGAGATAATTTTTTTTAAAAATCTCATGTATTTCTTCAATAAAATTAGCTTTTATCCAGCTTTTATTCAACATTCATAATATTTCAAGACCTTTACAACTAACTACTTATTCATCTTGTTAATCTCCTTTGTGCAGTATTCTGACTGTTTAAAATCATTATGATGAAATGAAAAGAAATAGAATTTACCTGGACCATCCAAAGAGTGGAGGTGCAGCACAAGCCATTGCCATGACCCATGTGAAGAAAACTCCAGCACCAGCATGAGCTCCAGAGAACTTGAAGCTTCCCATGGGTTTGCAGACCACAATGTATCTCTCAACAGCCAGGACAACAAGTGACCAGAGAGCTACTTCACCTGTAGACAGAAAAGGTGAGTTATTCATTGATATTGTATATCTACCAATGAAATAGAAAGGACCCTGAAAAGATCTGCTTTCTTTATTACCTCCAAGTGTGGCCATGAATCCCTCAATAGCACAGAAGGTGGGTCCAAGAATGAAGTAGCCATTAAGAGCTGATGTGATGGTGATGGTGAATCCAAAGCAGCACATGATGAGTCCAGCCACAGCCAGGTTGACCAGGATATAGTTGAGAGGTTGCCGGAGCTTCTTGTTCTGAGCAGTTACGAACAATGTGAGGCTGTTGATGGGAGTCCCAGTGCAGATCAGGAAGAACATGTAGAAAGCTAGGAGTTTGTAAATTATCGGGTCTGCCATGTAATACTGAGTGTACTCAAAAGGACTTCTAACAATCCCAGTCCTGTTGGACATGGGAATGTAGAAGTTCTTGCCTTCAGTGCCATTGGGCTCAATTCCTCCATCCCAAGCCATCTTTGCTAGTCAGCTGTTTAGTTGTGTCTGTGTAAAAAGTCTACTTGTGTGGACGGTGACGATGTTTCAAGTTACACCCTGTGATTTTTATACCTCTCCACTAACCCTGTCAAACAGCCAAAATGGGATTAGCGGGTTGTGAGGTAGTGCAGAAGCTAAGAGGTCACTAATTAATCTTAACACCGGATAGACAGGACAGGGTCCAAACTAATTTGCTCCCCTTTCCAAGTCCGGAGGAATTCTCTTAATCCTTACTCGAGAAAGGGAATTACGTTCCCTCAGCTTTTAAAGTCTGAAGAGAAGTTAATCATGAGCAAACACACAAATCATACCTGAAATATGAGAAATGTCTGTGTATATAAAAACAATAACGTGTACTGATTTTAGAGTGTTATATATATTAACTACAGCAGATAATGTTTAGTGATAGTGTGCTTTACACAGTCTGTGTCTTTTAATGTGAGCTATGTATGTGTTGAAATGTATGTGTTGCCTTCTTCTAATCCAATTCACTGTGGGTGCTTTCTTTCCTACAGTGCTTAACTACCCTACATTAAATTTTTTATGTGTTTATTAATTCAGACAAGACCTACAGTCAAGCTCTTTTTACCCTCACAGTCTGTCTCCATATGGAGGAACTTTGGGTGTCATTATCCTGATTGGATTAACCTCAGTATCTCACCTGTGGTAGCTGTGGTGTGGTAAAAGCTTACTGTCACAGGTCGGAAAGAAAATGTCCGGTAAAGACTTAGCCAATTTGTTGTCTTCTTTAAGCTACTGCAACACTATCAGTGGCAAAGAACAGCTAATATCAGTTATCCTTCTGTTTATTTGACAGATAGAAAGGATAGATTATGATTGGGCTACATGATGGAGAAACCACGTCATTTCTCTGTTACCTGTGATTAATTCAGATCAACTTGCTTGTGATGCTCTGTTTACTCCCAGTTAAATGTGATTTGATATGATAATAAATAAATTTACTTTCTTTTATATTTTCAATATCATTTATTGCTAATTTAATTTTGGCTTTTGCTGACTGGTGTGAATATTCAATATGCTATAATTTTTGATCGACCTCTGTGTATTAACTGCCCTTTGGATGCTTAAACATATCTATACATTGCAGATGTATATATTAGTATTATTACATACACTAAGCATTTCCATTTTATTCTTTTTTAATATAATATTCTACCAGGGTTTGATTGTGGTAAGTAGCTTAATGCCTGATAGCTAAACGGATGACACTACAGTGGAAACCAGACTGCAGATAATACCTTTCAACTCTGACACACCTCAAGGTGCCTCAGGTGGTAGCCTCATTACCTGACCTCAGGTAACAAATTAAGAGAAAGACTTAAAACACGATTTACTGTTAAGATCATTAACAAATTTCTCTTAACCTCACCCAACCTGAAATCTAATTTCGCTAAGTTGAGGTCATCACCATTTATAAAATAAGGAACTGTAATTACATTAAATGTTTGTTAATTCCTAGAGGTGTCCAGTAAAATACATCTACACCCTCATTTCCAACCAGACGAGGAGGCTGAAGTCCTTTGAACACCCACAGTTTCGTTTGGTAGACCTTTGTAGATTTCTTTATGTTTGTCAAAATCTGATCTGGACTTTCTCAACTACATCCCGGTCAACTTAGCTGTGGATGGAGTGGAGATGATGGTTTCCAGGATTTCATGGCCACACACTAAGGTAAACTGCAACTGAAGACATAAAATGTAAATATCTAAACTTTTTTGGTTCCTTCATATAATTTGTATCTCTTATACCGTAATAATGTCTATCATTTATAAATTAATACTGGTTGCTCAAAGATATGGCTCACTACAGTCTGCACACAATGAAAAAGCTTCACTTTCACTACAGATTACAGATCCTATTGTACTGAGTAATGTTAAAGGTTCGTGTGGTTTAAATTTGTAACTATGAACAACAAGATTTAGGTAGTTTACAGAAACTATCTACCTGGAACAATTTTAAGTTTAATGCAATATTAAGACATTAAGTGCAAATAAGGAGTAAAGAACAAAGTGCAGTTAAAGGCTGCAGAAAGTTAGATCATATTTAATGCAAATATAATAAGCAAAAAACCTTTGTGAATCGAGCATGAATGATAATAAAAACACAATACACTTAAGCTAACAATAATCTTTTACGCATGAATATATAAGATATAAGATATAAATATATAGCAATATGACTTTTAAAAGCACTGTAACTGTCTGTGTGATGACTGTGCTTCCAGATGGATGCGACAGACACAAGTCATCGCTGATGAACTGACGCACTGTTGCTCTTTATTCTGTTGGACAGAAGCTGTAAGCACATCTCTAATGAGATTGAGCGCAAACTTTATCCTTACTCAATTTAATCTGTAAAATTTGCTTAATCGCTGACATTCAACACAAACTCCCTGTTTTTCTTAGCACCATTTCTTTCTCTTCTGCTTAAGAAACTCTTAGCCTCTTAAAAGTCTCCATTTCTACTCCTGTTTTTCACCTCAGAAGCTTATTTAAGATACTTTGTGGATACGTTTAGTTTTAATCTGTATTTAATCTTACCTTTAAGGCAGAAATTATCAAAACACTTTACCATTTTAAGAATTTCCTTAAAGTTTAATTACGAGGAACATCTCTTTATACTGTGAGATTTGGTGAATACGGCCAGTGATGTGCAGAAATTTGAGCCTTTTATCCTTAATGAGCTGCTTCAGCTCAGCCATATTCTCAGGATGAGTGTCTTTCTTGAGGTCATTTTACAGAATCTCTGTTGAATAAATGATTGGGCTCTGACAAGAACACTTACTCTATAGGAGAAGTACAGAAGACAAAGTACCTGTTTGCTTCACAATATCAAGTATTAGAGTATATAGTAGTATAAGCCTCCCTCCAAGCCACAGGCTCCCACGCAGCACCAAGCCACAGGCTCAGCAGCATGGAGAGTACAGCAGTCATAAAAGCAGACCTGATGAGCCTGTCAGAAAGACAGAGCTACAATGAGAAGTAGTCTGTTCAGGGCAAAGTAGAACATGAAATTACAAATTAGTATTCGAGCTGTAACAATATTGTTGCAATAAAGTGAGACGCTGCTTTCAATCAAAGCACAATTTCATCTGCACTGTTATTGTAAATTCCCACTCGACTTAAGTATTAACTGGAAATTTTAAGATTTGAAATCTTTGCTTAGTCCACTACAGTGACTGTGAAAGTTTGGCTACCCTTGTAGTCAAGGGAACAGTTTAAATCATGAATATTCTACTCAGTTTAGATCTGTGGCATTTTATGTTAAGGGAAATGAATGTTTTGTTTTCAGCAGTAGAGAAAATGATATTATTAGGATGTGGTTTCATATGTGAAGCATGTTTGGTGATAAATTCTATTTATTTTAATGAGTGAGAACTTAACTATCTCAATGTGGTTATGTAGTTATTATAGGGTATTTGCCAAATGCATATCTACTGTGTTATTAATTAAACCAGAACTGACCAAACTAACTTGAAAATTATGGATTTAAAATGAAAAGCTCTGAGCTTTTTGTCTTTGCCATACCAATTTTTTTTTTTTTTTTTTTTAATACTTTCTCTTTATTGATTTTCATCTTATTTTATATACAGAACTAAAGAGGGCAAGGGAAACCAACACAGTCACATATGTTCGCATATTCCAAAATACACAACACCTTGTTTTACTTACACATACTACATATTACACAGGTGCATGTTCCATTCAAACAAATTCGCAGCTGTCCCTCTGCATCACAGAGGTATCAGTTTCTAGTCTTTTGATGTATAACAATCCCATCGTTCCCAAAGTCTCTCTCCTTCCTCCTTCTGTAGCCGCAGTGAGAGGGTAATCAGTTCCATATGATGAATTGTGTTAATAATGTCTATGACCAGCTTCCGTGTGGGGGGGCTTGTCTGTAACCAACACTTAGTAATTGCCTTTTTGCATGCAACCATAATTATTTTCAGTAAGTATGAGTCTCTGTTATTTATATCCTCAGGTATATTCCCAAGGTACATGGTACTAAAGGAGAAGTCCAGTGTTACTCCCAGCACATCCATCACCATTTGTTTAATCTCTTCCCAAAAGGCCTTCAGTTTAGGGCATGACCAGAAGACATGGAAGCAACCTGCAGCGACCTCCCCGCACTCCCTCCAGCATGAAGCGCCTGAACCACTTATTTTGGATTTCTGCTTTGGTGTGATGAAGAATCTAATTAAATTCTTCCATCCAAAATCTCGCCATGTTAAAGAATTGGTGGTAGATAACACATTCTTCCACATCCGCAACCAATCTTCCTCTGAGATAGTTATACCTGCTTCTTTTTCCCATCGATGACTGACATATCTTGTTGAGGTCTTTTTCATGGCTGTAAAACTTCTGTATATTTTGCCTATAGTACCTCTTATAATGTTCTCACCATAAGCATCCATAAATATTCGGATCACCCCACTAGCATCTGCGTCAAGCATTCTAATTTCCTTCCGGAAGAAGCTCCGAACCTGTAGGTAACGATAAAAATCTTCCCTGCCGATCTCGTAAATCTGACACATGTCCTCAAAATTGATCAGCTCCCCATGCTTAACTATCTTACAGATTGCAGTGATTCCATGCCTGGACCACTCCCTGAATTTATGGTCTAACAATGCTGGAAGGAAGCGTGGGAGATACGCTGGCCATCCCAGCAACCCTATTTCCCTATTAAGACCAAAAATTTTAATCACATCTGCCCATTTTTTCAGGGAAAAACTTACACATAAATTTTGCATCTGATATGCCTGTGGTAAACTCTCAAGAGGACCCCAGAACAGACTGTATTGGGAAATCCATCAAAGAAAGCTCAATGTCCTTCCATTTTGCCTCAAACTTAGAGTTACACCAGCACACTAGAGGTCTGATCTGGGCTGCCAGATAGTAATCCTCAAAGCACGGTAGAGCCATGCCCCCCCGCTCACCAGGCAGCTGCATTGTTGCATATTTCACTCTCGGCCTTTTATTTCCCCATATGAATCTTGAGCAATGCATATCCCACTCCCTAAATTGTTTTGCTGGAACCTCAACTGGAAGTGC